CGAGCCAGCGCAGCACACGGAAACGCCGTTTACCTTCCCGCTGGTAAGCGGTCCCTATTTATCTACTTGCACCCGGGGGTGCTTTCGAACTGCTAGGTTGGCAGGCGCTGGGACCGAACAACAGGAGCGCACCCCGCTGCGGGGATTCGAACCGCCGACCTTTCAATCGGCAAGCCCTAGGCGTGAGGCTTTTACCCACAGCGCCACCCGCGTCCCTGTGCACAATTAAGCAGGCTTAAATTCCACTGATACTACTTAAGTATGCTTAACTGTGCCTTAGAATGGGACCATGAATGTTTTACTTTTGCAAGAGTTACAATGCGTTAACTGGTTGAAGGGCTTTAGAAGGATAAACACAGAAATAAGAAGTAGAAATTACTCAAGACTAAATGCTTGCCTTGCCAGTATGAATAGCTCTCTGGTCCTATGGGGTTAAAACCTTAAATCATTTGATGCATTATGCTCTTGAAAAACCAAATGCCCCTCCATAGTTACAATTTATTGAAAATGTAGCTTATTATAGTATGACAGAAAATAAATTAATCGAAAGATTTAATGCCTTTTGCCATGATTCCATCACAACACAAAACAAACTATTTTCCTCCTTAACTCTACAAGACATTAAGTGTATATACCAAAATCTAAACTACAATTCCATAAATGCTAGCTCTTTAAGAATGTGACAGCTTTGTCTACAATGAATTTGAAAAATGATTTGCTATAAAACTGCTTGAAACTGTGGGGCTTTAACAAAATCTTAAACATCTACATAAGAAGGAGGAAAGAGCTTTTGAATAGATAAAAGTAAAATCTTGATTCTTATATAAAATGTTATGCATTTTAATATGATTTTTTGCCTGATTTATGTAAAGCTTTGTGTTTTTCATTTTCCCTAGCCTGTCACATTGTAGTGATGTATGGAGCATTTTAGCATCAAGTTTGCCATGAGCAATAAAGTCAGTGCCCCTAAGAAATATTAATATATTTCCACTTTCTCTCCCCTCTCCGAGAGTGTTCTCTTATTCAGCTTATTTGGTTTCACTTCACATAGCCGACTGGCATAATTTTCAGTCTCACAGTAATATTTTAAGGCTTTGCTCTGCGGAAAAAAATCCTCGTCAAACAAGGTGTGTACTAAAATGGCACATTTGAGAATGGGGAACATGGTGCTAGGAAGCAGAATTCTAAAAATAAAGCATTATGTCTCTTTTTGATGAATGTACAGCAGTGCTTTCTGAGATAAGACCTACTATGGCATATGCCTATATACTCTTGAAAAGTCAATATTTTTAAACGAAACACAAAACCGGCTGTGATCATTAATGGTGTTTGAGTATCACGTACAAAAGAACCCAAACCAAAATGTTTTAGCACAAAGAAGCATTTAACACAAAGACCTGTGAAGAACGCTAGTGGCAAACTCACTGGAAGGCCTGTAGAGACTCAATTTCCCTGCACCTAAATGCGCCTTATTGCGGTTTTCACTGTTACTCCAGCAGGCTGTTTAATACTCGGGGATATTCCTCAGGAGGGAGTGGGGGGAGATGGCTGGAGGACATTTCGAGAGGGGAAATAGAAGCATAGAAAGAGTTAAGTGTCCTCTCAACCTAACAGTCGTTCATAGGAAAGTGTTCTTCCTCTAAATGGGTTTTGAGATACAAATTTCATCAATGCATGTAAAAGTGTATTGTGCTTTTAATGCTTCAACTTCTGAAGCTACCACTCATTCTGTAAGACTGCTGGCTTCCTTCCAATTCACTTTCCAAAACAGCAAGCTTCCCTTAATGCCAACAATAAATGGGGTCAGTTGTATTATTAGACACTACAGCTAAGTTCTGCTCTACTGTGCCAATGAAATCTCCTGAGTTTGCAGTAAAGATCCCTGAACAGACTGTATCAGAGCACAGGATCAGTCTGTAAGCAAATTATTTGTCTCTCAACGAAAGTATTAGCAGCTTACTGTGTATCTTGGGAAGTATATATTTAGCTTCTGTGTACTATGAATCCTTGTTATATAATCCTACATTAATTGATACACAACCTGAGCATCTGAGGTGCAAAGCTTTTCGCTTCATATTTTGTTTGTGTCAATTATACCATAGTAATTATAAACACATGGAACTAAATAGCCACAGTAAATATTTCTAAACAGGCTACAAGACAGCATGATACCATTTCTGCTGTTATTTTTCTTTCTACAGTGGATCCCATTTGTGCCATGAGAAGCTGGGGGCGGCGAGGGGAGAAACCAACCCTGCAAATGTTAACATAATTTTTATTATTATTTTCTGGTTTAGCTTACAGGCGTATATATTCGCAAAGCACTTCTGGCATGGGAGCACAATGCTTCACAGGTATCATTACTGTTAGATCAATACTGCTGAAGAACATAACTTGGTCACAGGAACAGAAGTTAGAAAGGACACTTTTGAGGTTCTTAACAAAACGATTGCTTTCTCACTTCATTGTTTTAGTTTATATCTCCAACTCCTTGAAAGATTCCATCAACAGTGTCTCCGAAAAATTTTACACATCATGTAGGGAGACAGGCGAACTAATGCCAATGTACTGGAAGAAGCAAAGATCACAAGTGTTGAAGCAATGATTCTTCAACATTGACTTTGTTGGACTGGTCATGTTGTGCAGATGCCTGATTATCGTCTTCCAAAGCAACTACTCTATTCCGAACTTAAAAATGGAAAGTGTAATGCTGGTGGTCAACAAAAGAGGTTTAAAGACTCTCTCAAGGCAAATCTAAAAAAATGTAACATAAACACTGACAACCTTTACCAAAGGTATCATGGACTGTGAAGATGCTCAAACACAGGAAGAGGAAGGCATGTTTGGCAACACTCACTGTGATCAACTCCTGCTCTGAAAACTATGTCCCCACTGTGGAAGGACGTGTGGATCCAGAATTAAGACTGTATTCACGGACGACAATCTTACTCAGTTATGGGAGATCAACAAGAAGAAGAAGATATACTCTGGCAATTTTTAAAAAGCTATGACTTAAACAGTGTGTTTTATGCAATGCTCACCTATTTTTTTGGTTACTTTTTTAACTGGAGTATAAAATATGCACAAAGATAACACAAGTCAAAATGTCATTCCACAGCCAATGAAATTGTATATCTTGCAAGTTGAGCCACCCAGCTCAAGACTAAAGGTATTAATAGAATATAGAATAAAGTCTTGCAGCTTTTCTGATGAAAGAGAATATACATGGTTTGTATGACAATTGGAAAATATACATTTTCTATAGTATGTAAAAGTTTTCAGAAGATTCCATGTTTGATGTGTTAATTTTTCAGCTACTGAAAGACTGCAATTCCATAAATTAAGATTTAAACCATTCAGTGTTTTCCACTGTTTCATTATTGATGGTCATGTAGCTGCTTTTAAGAAAACTAAGAGTTCTTTCAATTTTAGATTTAGGTTTGATTGTTCAAAGAGTGTTAATAAATACAATCATAGGGCAGGGGAAGCCTACCTTTTCCTTGAACACTGCAGTAATTTTCTCGCAGACCTCCTATCAAATCAGAGACAAATGGACAGGCCCACCAGAGATCTATGTGCCTGAAAACCACAATCATGCCAAAAGTTTGGCTGATTTTCTGTCATAGGTTTCACATGGGACCTATACTACCTGTGCCTTGTTGTAAAAGTATTTTCTCTAATGTAAGCTGAAACATGCCATATTGAATGAATGAATTTCAGTCACAGACCAATTCCATCTTACATACAAAATCAGGGAAGTCATAAAGCACAACAGGCATACATTTAAATTAGCAATTCGGTATAACAGGGGCAGTAGATATAGCAGCAATTAAAATATATAAATTAGAGAACAGGCCATATTGTTTTAGAGAACCATATTATCTAACAATTGGGTATTGTTTATTTTTGACTTAAATCCCTCTCCCATAAAGTTTTCAAGCCAGCTAAGAGTCCCTGTTGAAATTTTTTATTCTTTGTTGTATGTTTTTGAGACTTATACTTTAAAAAAATGTACAAAAAGACCAATCACAAACGGGTTTTTTCAGTGTGTCTGTGTTTGGGTGATCCCTTTGTGAAAATCCTTGTCAGATTCAGACTTCCATCAATAATTTGTTAGTCTTCTTTGAGAGGCTGTATCTCCCGATACCTTTTAAAAGCGCCTTAAAGACCTACTGTTTCACTGCTGCATTTAAGGGCTATGTGTTGCTGAGTATTGTCATTTTGTGCTGTTTGAAATGTAATGAAATGGTTGGTTTTATTGGGTTTCAAAATTGTATTATGATTTTTGTTTGATATATATATATTTGTTGTGACCCACTTTGTAAAATGTGTGTTTGAAAAGAGGTCCATACATTTCTCAAATAACTAAAAAGGCAAGTACATGGCAGTGGATCATCAGGATCAGCATGATGTCTCTGCATCCTTTTTGGAGCATGGGTTTAGAACTTAACAGTTTGGGCCTAACGAATCTCTGTTATTGCTATAGACCAAGGGTGGAGAGTCTGTGGTCCTCCATATATTGTTGGACTGCAACTTCCATCAGCCCCAGCCAGCATGGCCAATGCTCAGGGATGATGACAGCTATAGTCTAGCAACACCTGGAGAGCTTGAGGTTCCCCATCCATCATCTGCAAGGTAATCCAGAAGTATTGCCTAAATTATACACACTAAATATGAACAGCAAGAGCACAGACAGATTCTAGACAACTGTCCAACTAATGTTTCTCTGTCTTCACTTGGAGGGTCATCAACTTTGAAATGCTGAAATACCATTACATTTGGGGTGTATTGTGGTGGCCAGGATTTAAATTGGTAAGGAATGGAGTGTTAGCAGTATTACCTTTTATCTGTTGTTTTTCCCCCCCAGATCCCATTTGGACATTTTGTGTGTCTGTGGTTAAATCACTGTTATCTGCTCTGAGTCTTGGTAATGAGACAGAACAGATTTAAAAATAAATATTATTAATATAAGTATATTAAAATTGGAATGCGGTACTTGCCTTATCTTCTAAGTGCAATTTTAATAGTCGAAGATAAGCCACAGGTGCAAATGCATCCGCTGAATGCACAACAACTTCTGATAAATCCCTGTAATAACAGAATCATAAACATGTATTTCAGATTACACTGAACATTTCAACAATTAGGTTCTTTTTTTTAAAAGCATTAGTGGTCAACCATGGGACAGGTATAATCAGATCGTATGATTATAGCCCTATCTGCACATTCAAAGCAGTATTAAACAGGCATGCAAGGATCACAGACCTTGTGTCATGACTAAAGTTTCACTCAGGTGTGAACTTCTAACAACATATGTAACTTGTCCTAATATCAGCCTCTGTTTCTGCAGACTGGAAAACACCCAGTATGACAACGGTTTCTAAAAAAAGGTTCCAGAGGGAATCCGGGAAATTCCAGGCGAGTTAACATAATGCATGTTTCGGAAAAATAGTAGACAGCATTATTAAAGGCAGAATTGCCAAGCACAGGGGGAAACAAGCAATGCAGAAGCAGAAGCAGAAGCAGAATGGCTGATGACACCAGCATTTTTTGTAAGAGTAATTTAATAATCAGTTGTGGAATGTGTTACCTAGAGAGGCCCGCCTATCCACTCTGCCCCTCTCATACAAAGAGCAGTAAAAATAAAAGAAAGAAATAAAAGAAAGCTTTTTAAGAGGCAGTGAAGTTGTCATTCTTACTAGTCTGGTTTTGTTCTCAATGTGGGTGCATTTCATTATTGTTTTATTGCCTTGATTCTTACCTCAGCAGAGGTATAAAACTACTTATAATAAAATAATAAATATCTTGGAATCACTTAAAAATACAAGTATCATAAAAGAAGCAGTGCTTTGTTTTATTTTGTTCATATCCCACCTTTATCCACCACAGAGCCCAAGGTGGCATACATGTGATTCCCAGGTTGTCTCCCATCCAGGCACTGACCCAACTCAGACCTGCTTAGCTTTGGCAAGGCAAGTCTCATATGCCTCCAGGCCTATCTATCTATCTATCTATCTATCTATCTATCTATCTATCCACTTTTATTTACGGTAATATTTCACATAGAAATAACCAATGCATTCTAAAATTGCTTCTAAAAGCACAAAAAGAAGGTGAGCACCAGATATCATGGAGACAACCTTTTATGACTGGGGCACCAACATGAAGAAGGCCATAACCACCCACCCCAACTGAGATGGCAGGGGCACGTTCAATGCCTTTGAAGCGTTACATCATGTATCTAGTTGGCTTCAAAGCCATTGGTGAATAGAAGCACTCTTTCCTTAGGGAGATATTAATCTGGGAGAAAATGGGAGCGTGGCACTGGATTTTGTGGTTGAATCAAAATTTGATCTGAAATATTTCGTCTCACACTGTTTGCCACTATACTATAATAAATGTTACACAAAGGATCTGGGAAACCTGTATATGTTCTTACTGCTTACAACATGCTAGCCTATGCCTGGCCTTATTGTTTTGCAGATCCTCATGTGGAAGCATAATTATTATATAAATGTACCCTCAAGGGCACTTTCAGCTGGCACAGATTCAGTTCAGATCAATTCTCTGTTTATTGGAAGGGTAGCTTTCACGCCTGAAATATTCCAAGTAATACGATCTTCAAACCATTTTGCCCAAGTGTAGCCAACTGGGGTACTCCCAAGTGAGTTGTTTGGATATTGTAATCAAATTACCCCCTTCACTGAGATTATTGGTCTAAAAGTGGTGTGGAGCAGACACCGATACTGTTTTATTAGAAAATCTGTAAACTCAGATGAAAGAGGGATAATAGCAGTCAAAATATCTCCTATAATAGATGCAGGCTAAGTTATTTACCATAATTGTACTGACAAATCTACATAAGGATAAAGAAATTTCCCATACCTCTACACATACATTTTAAGAATTTATGGCAAAGAAATAACCCACTCAGTGCAAATTGGACTGATTCAAAACATTAACATTCAAAAACATCCTTTAGTAATTCAAGCAAAATGTTTAGCATTATCATCCTAAATTGCTAATGTTAAAACGCAAAAGAAAAAAAAAGGAAAGAGAGAGAAAAGGGAAACAGAGTTAATGGAACCCACAGGCTACTGATGTGGCAGTTTATCAAATGTAGCTGTAATGAAAGATAAATATTACAGGCAATTCGCACTTCATGAAAGGATAAAAGTGTCAGTGTGTAGGTACCAGTTTTACTGCAGGCCATAATCAGCAAGTAAACGAAAGTGCAAATGTCTAAAAAGTTTATAGCTTTCTATGAAGGCCTCGTCTTGTCAGGCATTGATTTAGGTTAGTGGAGGACTTTGCCAGTGTTAAACAAAGTGAGTGTTTGTGAACTTAGAGGACATGCTCTGCCGCTGCCAACAGAAGTGGCCTCAAGCTAAAAGTTAATATGTTCCCAGTGCTAAAATTTAAAGGGAAGGGAAGGCGCAGTTCCTTACACAACTATTTTCTTCTTAAACAGAGGGCAATCCAATGTGAATGTTTCATATTCTCCACCTTCTCCACAGATATGGACTCCATATTTCTCAGAAAGCTAAAAAATAAGGGAAGGGAAGAAAGTTATTATTAGGAAAAATCATTGCTTTATATCAAGTCAGACTCATGCGAGAACACATAGTGCTCACAGCCTATACTGCAACCATAGCATCCATCCTGATTTTTTCTATTATACACAAAGGCACAAAGTAAGGCTCGGGTTGCTGCACTGGTGTCCTCCTGTGAGCTACAGCAGGAAGGGAACTGGGGTGAGAGGTCTGCAGATAGAAAAGGGACTAGGGAAGGATGCAACAGGTATAAACCCAGCGCAGTGCCTTTTGAGCCTTTAAAGATTCAGATCCCATCCCATGGCAAAAGGTCATTAGAACCCTTTGTCCTTGTGGTATTCTCAAAGACTTGGGACCATAATACCTCAAGGACCGCCTCTCTTCATATGAACCTACTCAGACCCTGATATCATCTTCTGGAGCCATTTCTTCGTGTGCCTCCTCCACAAGAGGTCTGGAGGGTGGCAACACAAAAACAGGTTTTTCTGTTGTGGTTCCCTGTTTGTGGAATGCTCTCCCCAGGGAGGTTTGGCTGGTGCCTTCATTACACACTTCATGAAAACATTCCTTTTTAACCAGGCCTTGGGCTAATTGACATCATTTTAAATGTGTCGGGGGGGGGGGTATTGGGTTGTTTATGTTTTTATTTTGTATTTTTTGTATTTTTTATATTGCAATTTTATGTTGTGAGATCTACGGGTATAGGGCACTATACAAATGTAATAAACAACAACAGTGGATAAGGAAGGCTGAGAAAAGCTCAGAGAAATGAGTAGCCATGTGACCTGAGAAACATCTTGGGTGTGTTCCTTGCCAGGTGACCCTCTATGGTTTCTGATCTACTGTTCATCCAGCAGTTGCTATGTGACATCACCATGATGGTGTCCATTATTTTTTTGCTTTGTCCCCTCTTTTAAATGTAAACTCATCTAGACTGCTCTTAAACTAGTAAAGTTCAAGTTCAAGTATTTCAGAAAGCCAAATCCTGCCCTGGAGCTGTCACCACCCTTTCTTAATTTTGGGTGTGTGTATCTTACTCAAGCTTGCTGACACTTACACATCCAAGAACACGTCTCCTTTATTATTGCTTCACATGTGCAATAGCGTGACTCCAGAAGCAAAGGTAAGTTCTGGGTATGAACTCTGATAAAAACTGGAGGAGGAGGAGTTTGGATTTGATATCCCGCTTTATCACTACCCGAAGGAGTCTCAAAGCGGCTAACAATCTCCTTTCCCTTCCTCCCCCACAACAAACACTCTGTGAGGTGAGAGAGGCTGAGAGACTTCAGAGAAGTGTGACTAGCCCAAGGTCACCCAGCAGCTGCATGTGGAGGAGTGGGGAATTGAACCCGGTTCACCAGATTACGAGTCCACTGCTCCTAACCACTACACCATGCTGGCTCTCACAAACTGGTGCCGCATTAAGCTCAGACCAATTGAAGAGAAGCATAGGAACACATTCCACACGGGATCCCACAAACATGGCATGAATCCTCTCCAGAGTAGAAGGTGGCATCACAAAAAAAGCAATACAACATTTTTAATACAGAAACAAGTGTTACTGTGTTCACATCCTGCTTCTGAGATTCCCAGAGGCATCTGGCTGGCCTTGATATGGTACTGGGATCTTCTTATGCTTTTACTGGACGACTGGTCAATTTTTTTAGCCTGGCTAAACTGGAATATTTAAGGCCCTTTTGGCTTTTATTCTTGTTCAGTCTTTTACTTTGGTGGTGTGCCTCAAGTCAAAATGTTATCTGTCAGATAATTAAATTATGTCTGTTTACCCATTTTGGATGGTAAATTGAAATCTTCCTCTCTCTTTTTTCCAAATAAAGATCAAATTATCTTTTCCAGGCCTACGTTATCAGACATTTTCCTTTTAATGAGAGAATATCTCTTTGTCTAAAAATAACCAAACATTCACTTAATCAAAAACTCACACTGCTGACATAAAAGATAGCTCTACCTGTCAGAAGCTGCTGTAAGGTTCTTGTAGGACAAATCCATCAAGCATAATTAATGCTGATGCAATAAGAATGGACAACTTACAAAACAGTTAGTCAAAACAGCTTATTCTTCTTCCTGCCAAAAACCACTGCTGAAAAGCTGTTTGAAATGGATACCCTGCCAGGTACGAACAACTACAAAAGACTTTCTTAAAATGCAGCTATATTTGGAGTAACAAAATATATGGCCGATCCTCCTTGTTGATATCCCAGCTAAGTATAACATGATATGAAGGAGTAATTGTTTACAAGCTCTCCAAACTTGTTTGTCCTAGTGCTGCCTCTTTGGTGCCACAAATCCTTCCTGGACATCAACATCAAATGATTTTTCCCAATTGTTTGCTATCTGCCCTTGTTGGCATATCCTGAATCATTGAGCGGTTCTTCATTATTAGCTTCTTCAAGTGTGGGCACAAACCTGTTATCTTAAAAGGAACTTATTTCAGCGGTAGATTAGCATAAGCTTTTTAAGGGTGTAGGAAGATATATTATTATTACTCTTAATATTAATTAGATTTATTCATTTAATAGGATTTATATACCGCTTAATCATCAAAACCTCTAAGTGCTTTACACATAATATATATTTGAATTATTGATAAAAACGGATGTTAAAAAAATGCTAGCCTAACTTTTTTCAAAAATAAAATCAGCAGTTCTTAAAAATACACATTGCAAAACTGCCTATTACACATTCTTCACCATAAGGTCCCAGGATGGGTGACAATAATGTGAAAACACAAGATTGAAATCAGTTTAAACCACTTGTAATCAGAAGAACAAGGTAGGTCCTAAAATCTCTCTCTCTCTCAGGTATCACAGACCAGGGTAAAGAGGTACAGCTTCAGCATGGACAAAGCTATACAATGAAGGTGCACATATGTGCGAAGGAAATACTACAGCTTGGGGGAATGCCAGAGCAAATGCCCTGTCTTGGGTTGCCACTACCAAAATTCCAAGGATGGTAGAACTACCAAGAGGGCACCTCTAAACACCTGAGAGAGAATCTGTAGGGAAGGAGGCAACCTTTCAAATATTTGAGGCCTTAAACACTAATGTGAGCACTTCGAATTTGGCCCAGAAACAGCTCATCACATATATATGTGAATATATTTTATCATTGTTTCATATATTTTATCTTTGTTTGTAATGATAGTGTCAATTTATATGTATGTGTCTGTTTTATGTTGGTGTCTTTGTGTGTTTTTCTTCAAGTGGACAGTGGATTTCAGCTGTGTTTTAACTTTATTTGTACTCAGCTTTGAGAAGTTTATTTTGATCAAGTGGTCTATAAATCTTCTAAATCAATAAATCAATAAAATCAGTGCTGCAGTTTTAAAACAGGGGTTCTAAATGGAACCCCAGCCAGTAATCTGGCTGCTGCATTTTGAACTAGCCGAAGTTTCCAAGTCATCTTCAGGGGCATACAAATCTCCCGCAGCAGGTCCAATTCCACAGCAACTGCCCTGTTACCCTGTTACGGCAACTCTTTACCCGGGGGGCAAGCCAGAGACCACTTTAGAATGCAATTTGTAAGTACTACTCTTCCCCTAATAGGAAGAATTTGGCCAATAAGGTCACTGAATTTCCACCCCCAACCTAGGTGGGGAGGAGAATTCTGCATATCCCTACGCAGCAACCACAAGACCTGGACTGACGCCACCCACCTGGGCTGGTCATTGGATCCTTCTAGACAGCAAGAACCATAAGTGGGTATTCTGCTCTAGTTGCTTGAGCTATGGGGACCTCCTGAGCTCTCAACTTGACCTGTATCCTTTGGGTGCCCTTCCGTCCTTGTTTCTGGCTTGCTCCTCTGCCCTGCCTGACGCTTTGCTCTTCGGTTTTGGCTACAAGTTTTCTCCCACATGGATACTGCTTCCTATCTCACCGGTTGGCCCTATTTCTAGCACCGGGGGTCAAAGGGAGCAAAGTATTGTTTGTTAAGAACTCAAGGAGTCCATGGAGATGTTGTAATATCCTTCTAGCTACTTCTGCCAGGCAGTGGGCTCCCCACCAGCTGAGGCTTCCAAAGAAAATCAAAGGTAATACCCCCGCCCAAAAAAGAGCACATTAAATAATCCAGATTTGTGATTACGAAGGCATGAACACCCCCTTCTAGTTCTTGATCAGGAAAGTGAGCATTTTCCCCTGAACATGTGGGCCAAAATTGGAGTTGACACCCCATTTTACAGCACAACATGTGTAGGCTCCTCTCAGGCCTTTCTTGTTGAGCACGATGGTCTGAAGGGGACTACTACATGCATTTGAATGAACACTTACAAGCCTCTGTGCAACGAGAAGTTCAAATGCTAGTGGAAGCCCATTTCAGGCCTTTGTGTCCAAGGTGTAAAAATCTGAGAAGCCCACAAATGGAGGGTCAGGAATTGCATGTATGCTGCTGCCCCTTTACATACCTTTAGCCCTTGCATATCCAGGCAAACACCCAAAGAAGGCTCTTGTGTGCTTTAAATGTATTTTTACCCACTCAGATTCTCTGGGATTAAGCTGGCAAAAAAAATCTCAGTAACTGAATATGGATTTTTACACTTCACTTCACTTTCTTTATTAAAATGGAGAACGGGCTTCAGGACAACAGCAGCACGCCTAAAAGCTGGGAATTGACAAAACAGCAAATATAATTGGCCCATTTCCTTCTGATCTCTCCAGCTTCCAATCCCCATCGACCTCTCTCCCCGCCCCTCCATCTCAATCTCTCTCTCATACACAACCACCCCTGACAGCATTCAAAGGAAATATTTTTAGAACCATAGCCTCAACTTTCTCTGCAGCTGGTGTTTATGCTACAGTTTCACTAAGTTATAAAGTGAGCTAAATATCTAGTAAAATATTTATGTACAGTGACATTTATAGCAGAATACAAACCCCCTACCAACAAGAAAAGAGTATTTACTGAGCAACCTTCCTCCACACAACCCTATGAAGCGACTTCAGCATTGCCAAGGAAACCAAATCTAGGAGAAAATGCTGGTTATTGTTTGTCATTGTTCAGCCATGATAAAACCTATGAGAAGCAACGTAACTGGGGTATGTATGCTGGGAATAAAGTCACAGAATCATAGAACTATAGAGTTGGAAAGGAGCCTGAGGTTTATGTAGTCCAACCCCCTGTAATGCAGGGATCCACTACCTTCAGTTGGTACCAGAATATACAACTTTAAAAGCTCACCCAGATCTCAGCTTACCATTTCATATAGACAAAGTCAAACAACATTTTCTGAGGTGTTGTAACACAGCCACTTGTACCACAAGGCGATAAAACTGCACAGCTAATTTATTTCATAATCACTAAAGAAGAGGTTGAGGTTATTAACATAGAACATGCTGACTTTTACCACAGGAAAGTTCAAACTGCGGCTGTAGCTTATTAAGGCTGCTGACAATTGCTAGGAGACCCTTATTCTCCCCACAGAGCTACTACAATTATGGGACTGGTAAAACAGCAAATCCATGTCCTCAGGGTATTCTGTGAACTGTAGCTCTGAGAGGGGCATAGGAGTCTCCCAACCGCTCTCAGCACCCTTAGAAAACTACAGCTCCCAGGATTCTTTGAGGGAAACCATGATTGTTTAAAGTGGCATGACGCTGCTTGAAATATATAGTGCAGATAGGGCCAGAGCTGTGGATGTGAACTGCATGTAATCTGTAAGTCTGTATTGGACCTGAATTTCACTCAGACATGTAGCCTGTCTTCACCACTATGGAACTGCCATTGGGACCTGCAAAGGCTTTCAGTGGTGGCCCTGGGCAGGTGCTCCAGACTCTTGCACTTTCATGAGGGGAAAAGTACATCTCCAGCCTCCCAGAAAGAAACTTATGAGGCAAAATGTGCATGTACTTTCTAAGTTATTTCTGAGAGATGAAAGTGGGTGTGGTGTGGCCAACTTGTATTTCTTTCCTGGTGCTGGAGAATGCTTAGGCAGCAATAGTATCAGTGTGTGTGTGTGTACAATCAATACTGCATGATCTCCACCATCGGGACCAGAAGGATGGAGTTGATTTCCCATGATGAGCGTAACGTCGTCTCTCGCTCTCTCTAAATTTGTGTTATGCCTCCCTGCAGCAGCAGCTATTTTGGAACTGAAACCCCCAGCACTCTTTCAAAATTTGAAATGTGCCCGCTGCTTCAAAAATGTTGTCGACCTCCCCATTCTTCTCCACAATAATTTCAACGTTTCCCTTAGTATTGGGAGCTGCTTCCTTGATTAGAATTCCCAACAAGAAGATAATAATAAAATAATAATTTATTATTTATATCCCGCCCATCTGGCTGAGTTTCCCCAGCCACTCTGGGTGGCTCCCAATCAAGCGTTAAAAACAATACAGCATTTAACATTAAAAACTTCCCTAAACAGGGCTGCCTTCAGATTAATATTCTTTGTGGAAATCCACACTGCAATGCTTGAAATAAATTAAAGAATTGTCCAGAAGCACCTTAGAGACCAACTAAGTTTGTTCTGGGTATAAGCTTTCATGTGCATACACACTTCTTCAGATATTCTTCAGATATGGTATCTGAAGAAGTGTGCATGCACACGAAAGCTTATACCCAGAGCAAAATGACTTGGTCTCTAAGGTGATACTGGACAATTTGTATTTATTTATTATTTATTTCAACTGCGTCAGACCAACACAGCTACCTACCTGAATCTGCAAGGCTTGAAGATGATGAGCAACAACTACTCTGCATACTCCACATGTCATACATTAAAGCAGTGTTTTCTCCACTCCCAAATAACATGGGGCTTACATCTATGTAGCGAAAAAAGAGCAATACATAAAAATATAATGCCCTCAGAAGCTCGGGTGGAGTGGTCCAGAAGAAGGTATTGTTTGTGAGATCTCCTAAGTTGTGGAAGTCCTGCATTATATAGCTTCCAACAAATGCTAAAACACACATCTTTATCCTGGCTTTTGACACGCGAGGCTTATATTTTTAGGACCCAACTTATGTCTGCAATTTTAACTTGTTTAAACTGTTTTTAATGTTGTGTTTTAATACTAATATTGTATTTTGTTTTAACCTGCCCTGAGACCTTAGGGTGAATGATGGGTAATAAATTGTAGTAGTAGCAGTAGCAGCAGTAATAATAATAATAATAATAATAATAATAATAATAATAATAATTTTCTAGACAACTTTTCTAAAAAATAAAGCAGTAATCAATTTGAACACTATTACATGTATCCTATTTAAGAGAACTTATTTTTTTCAGTATGGCAAATGTTGGTCTAATGTTTTGTTTCTGAAAGTGCGTGCTTTAAGAAGTGTTGTGCAGTTTCCTCCACATGTAATTTTTTTTATTTTTATTTTGTGAGGCACAGAATGTTTCAAGTATATTTTAGATAATACTTACTTCCAAAAGATAAGGTTCCATTTCATCCAATGTTTTTCCTAGATGTTTATCTGGATCTAAACCTGCCAAGAGATGTTAAAATATATTTTAGAGAACAAAGTACTGCTTGGGCGTCAGAGATTACTTTTTCTTTTTTTAAGAAACCTTCTCCTTTGGCAAACAGTTCCTGTATATCAAAAATAATGTTGAGGCAAACATAGATGTTCTTAGCCACAACTCACTCTCTTATTCCCTTTGAACTGTTTTCCATCCTTGGGGGAAAATAAGTTCATTTCCTTTGCCCTGCACAACAACTGGAAAACACATTGTTTTACTGAGTGCTTTCCATTCAGAGAAATTTCAGCACATAAAAAGGAAAAACGGGGTGTACCCATTATGATAATGAAAATAGTCCAGGAGATTTGATAACCCCTAAACTGCATTCAAGATGTTAGTCTACAGGACTCTTCCATGTTCTGTTATGGTAAGTAACAGAATTTGTAGACCTTTTAAAAATATGAAGCTGGCCTAAGCCTGCTATGGTCTGCTATAACTAAAGTTCAATAGGGGTTCCTTCGAAACTCACAGTTTTCTGGAACTAGGTATGGAGGAGCAATCAGTTTTAGAGAGAGTTATACATAGAATGTAGCAGTTCTGACCTGATCAAACTTTGCTCACAATGGACTACTTCTTACACAGGGTTCCCTCTTATGTTTGAGCTGCACATACATTATTTATTAAAAGGCCAACTAATTATATGCAAAAGCACACCTATAGAAATATGTATATTATACATAAAATAGATAGAAAAGGATCAAATTCATGCTGTACTTTGTTTCTGCAGCATAAGTTCATAAGCAATTTCTATAGTTACAGTGGTGCCTCGCAAGACAAAATTAATCCGTTCCGAGAGTGTCTTCGTCTAGCGGTTTTTTCGTCTTGCGAAGCAACCCTATTAGTGCCTTAGCGGATTAGCGCTATTAGCGGTTTAGCGGCTATTAAAGGCTTAGCGGCTTAGCGGCTTAGCTGCTAAAAGGCTATTAAAGGCTTAGCGGCTTAGATAAAGGGGGGGGGAGCAAAAAAAAATCTCAAGACTCGCAAGACATTTTCGTCTTGCAAAGCAAGCCCATAGGGAAATTCGTCCTGCGAAGCAACTCAAAAACGGAAAACCCTTTTGTCTAGCGGGTTTTCCGTCTTGCGAGGCATTTGTCTTGCGGGGCACCACTGTATATGCATTGTTGTATATACCTATGAGTGCATACGTATGAGTGTAATATGCATATAATACAATATATTAATGCATAAAATACGCATGTAACCTGCAGTAATGGCTCACTTTTTAAGCAGAAGGGGAAAAGGACATCTCACTTCTCATCAAGATTAAGGTTCAAGAAGAGAATTGGGAAGGGGAATCCATGCTCAACACAGTTTTCAGAAAATTCCACCCTTTCCTGAGACTTTTCTTAGGATGGAAAAAAAATGTGATGCTAATTGCATGGAAAAACTGCAATTATACATTACTATGTAAAGAGTAGCAGCAGGGAAGCCTGTGCAGCCTCAGGACCAAGGGGATGAAGAGTTTAATTGTCTTTCTCCCCACCCCCCATGACAAATATAGTATTTCCGAACCAGCTATTTGGTTTACAAGGGGTGTCAAGACGGGCTACCCATGAAAAGCAAATAGCAATTTTACATAACAAAAAAACCCATGCATGTTAACTGCATTATATAAATGGAGAAGAGCAACACCATACTCGCTGCCCCAGCCTCTTTGTCACATCCACGTATTCATCCCTGTGCCTTCTACATGGTGAAAAGGGTAGTTCTGAGAACCTGATCTATAGGTGGAGCTTCCTCACGGCAGGACTCTTATTCACATGGGAAGCTTCCATGCATATGTCAGGATTTATTTATTTATTTATTTTAAATGCTTCTAAAACACTCTCTTCATCACATAATAGTGGGGCCAAGCACTGGAGCCAATGAAGAAGTAGCAAGCAAGACTCTGTGTCCCCTCCTCTGCCCATCCACATGATTGGAACAGGTGCCACATTTTGGGGTCACGTCTGGTGTCGTTGTTCCATTAGCATGAACAGATTTAGGGTAAGGATGGAGGAAAATTCCACTCTTCAAGGGTAAACCCTGGTGCTGATGAAATGAGAGACTTAGCCCTGCTTCAGATATAAGTGGAAGGTTATAATTGACATCACATCTAGTTTTACCTTTAGCTGAAGTAAAACTATAAAGAAAAAAAGCAACAACTCCAACAGCTCTTTTAGTGAACCCTTGGAGTTTTCCATTTATATGACTGCAATGGATATGAATTAAAGCATGCAAAAAATATGCAAAAGAACTGCAAAAGAACTGCCTTGCTAGATCAAAGTAATGGTTCATCCATCTAGTCCAGCATTTCACCATCTTATGGCAATCAGATGGGTGCCCTGTGGAAGGTACAAAATGTTTTCCCCCCCTTCAAAACCAAGCTGGGGTTTAAGATAAGCAGGAGAGGTGCTAGCAGACATCCAAATGAGGCACTTTGAGTTGCTTGCCGGTTCTACCTCATTTGAAAGTGCTGGCTCCTGCCATGCTCATCTTAAAACTTACCTGATGCAGACATGGATAGTTTGACTAACAACAACTGTTCTTCTCTTCCTTCTCTGCCTTGATGTTCTAATATTTACCAGATGAAGAGTCCTAGTTATTTTATGATATTTTGGTAGGTCTAATAAAGCTGCTACCTTTACTCTTTGATAATTTTGTTTCTCTTTCCGATACTTTTGATTGTGCCATTATATAAGGTATCCTTGCTTCCTACCCCCAGTAAGGTTAATTTGGAATTGTTGCTGTTGTTAATTCTGCTCTCATGGAGACTGTGCTGTTTTATCTGCAGAATGTGCTGCAAAATACTCATTATCCATTATTGGATAATCATTGTGTCCATTAAAGGATAATTTCTAAAACATTTTTAGTTTTGTTGATTCTATCCAGTTATCGAAACATCAGAGTTCATAATATAAATGATGACAAATGTCAGAATCTCACATAATTTCTAATTATTGATGTTTTCCCTCCTAATAATGATGTTGCAATCAGGATTTTACTAGATACGTTCTGTAAATAAAGCAAAGGAAGAACTACATAAAAGTCCATAATAGAATAAGAATTTATCAATCAATAACACTGCGCTTTTCCCTCTGTGGGATCAGCTGGGGTGGGGAGGAGAAAGGAGGCAACCTGGATGGGTGGATAAACCCACAACAAGGCCCAGGCCTTAGAAAGCTCCATGCAGAATTAGGAAATTAATTAGGAGGAAGAATCATAATTGCAGAGCTGACATCTATTTTACTTGACTTGCATGTATCAACGGGAAGCAATTATGATTCAATTAAAATATTCAGTTTTATTACTTTAGTGACTGACCTTGAAGTTAATGCCCATTTTATTTAATTGCATCATCTATGAATAAATGTTAACCCTAGCATGTTATGCCCCATTATTTTTAGTGCATTTTTCAACTCCCCAACTGAATTATATCAGTCAATTTATTATCCACTGTCAAGAAAGCAAGCGAAGCTTTATTTCTTGGAGAGAATTCCAGCACAGATAGGAGAAGCATCATGAGAGGCTTGAAAATGCTGCTTAAGAATGCCAAGCAAAAGGAACTGTACTCCACAACTTTGCTGGCCTAGAGCTTCACTGTAAAGTAAGTATGTGAAGGTACTAGTTGCATAATAAGTCTAAAAAGCCATTTCTACTCTGCCTAATTTTTAATTAATGGGAACTTTATACTTCTCTACTAACAACATTATTGTTTAAGAGTATCTTCCCAACCTCCATGTCAAAAGACAACTTTTGTAACTTTCTAGGACCTGAAGAAAATTTGAGACATTTTTAGAGGCAGACATTTAGGTAAGAGAAAAATTTGAAAAAACAGAATGCACACAAGTCACGTGCATAACACTTTAATGAAACTTAAATCCATGGGTCCAGAGTCAACTAACAGGTCCCACAAGTGGAAACCCATGCAAGGACTTCCACTGGCGCAACAGGACTTTCCCTCCTCCTCTGCCCCCAAAATAGCACAAGGTTGGTGGTGAGGGGAGATTATGCCATCAGGCAAATACAGAAATGCTTGCACTGATGGCCTCTTTTCCACTCAAATAAAACACACACACAGATACCCCTCAGAAGTGAGCATTGCCTTTCAGCAGTCCTGTTGGAGATGGAATAATCCGCCTAATATCTTAAAAAGTGTGGGTAAGGACTACTGGCATAGGACATTTTTCTCCAATCCCATCAGAAGAGAACTGATTGGGTATCAACTGGGTATGTGACAACTATGGCCATTCCTGGACCGGGAAAGCCTTGCCACAGTAGGTCATGTCTTGGTTACTTCAAGACTGGAGCGCGCTCTATGTGGGGCTTCCCTCACGTCTGATGCGGAAGCTGCAGTTAGTGCAGAATGTTGAAGCACAATTGCTGACAGGAGTATGGCCTTGTCAGCATATAACACCCATGCTCAGAGATCTGCACTGGTTGCCAATTTGCTACCCAGCCAACTTCAAGGTGTTACTATTGGTAAAGAAAGCCCTTAACAACCTGTGACCCATTTACCTACAAGATCACCTTATGCCATGTGTCCATTAAGCCATTTCTATCAGTGGAATTGACACTGCTACAGGTGCCACATAATACCCGTTCCACATTTAAAAGAACTCAATTGTGCTTGAATGGCAGTGCCTGAATTTTGGAACTCTGTGCCGACTGAGATCAACCTTCACTGTACTTTTTTCAGTACCTGCTAAAAACATTCAGACGCTACAGAATTCAGGTAATTTTAATCTGTTTTAGTATTTGAACCTTTGTATGGTTTAAAGTACAGTTGCGATTTTTTCTTGATTTTATTGTATTATCTTTTTGTTGACCACTTTGAGGGTTTTGGGTTGTTTTTTACAATCAAGCAGTGTATAAGTTTTATTAAATGAATGAATAAAAACATCATCTTGATCTGACAATGAAGCTTCGGAGACCATCAATGGCAATAGCTATTCATTTGTTCTCTGAATGGCCCTGTCAAATCAGC